CGGCAAGAGGTGGAGTTCACCATCACAGACAAGAAAGTCAAGGTGAGGAGAGCCGAGCGGGCCTCACATTCCCAGACCCCACCAGCCTCAGCAGAAGAGACGGAAGGGACGGGCTGGGCTAGCCCTCCACGTGAAACTGGCCGATCCGCCCTAAGAGATTAGATTCTACTCACTAGACTCAGGATAGCAGCCCCACAGCTGTCCCGCGCCAACCAGTGTGAGTAAGGCTGGCTGGCAACCGCCTGCTCCACACAGAAGGATTCCGCGAGAGCCTGTTGTGTGCAGAGGGGCTGAGGACAGAGGAAACGACATGGGGCTCGCCTGATGGACGCTGTGGCCTGGTGGCTTTAGGTGCAGGCTCTGGAGAGAGCCTTAGGTTTGACTCTCGGCTTTGACCTTTGCTAACTGTGTGGTTAAGCTACTTAACCTCTTAGTCCCTTAATAATAATAATAATAATAATAATAATAATAATAATAATAATAATAATAACAAGAATGAGGGATTTTCTTCTAGATAACCCACAGGTGAGAGACAGGTGAGACCAGATTGGCCATGAGTTGTTAATAGATAGCGCTGAGTGACTGAATGATGGGAATTCTTTGGAGCATTTGTTCCCTCTTTGTGTATAAAATATGGGGATTTGGGCATTCAGGTTTTTTGTTTGTTTGTTTGTTTTTTGTTTTGTTTTGTTTTTCGAGACCGGGTTTCTCTGTGTAGCTTTGCGCCTTTTCCTGGAACTCACTTGGTAGCCCAGGATGGCCTTGAACTCACAGAGATCCGCCTGGCTCTGCCTCCCGAGTGCTGGGATTAAAGGCGTGCGCCACCACCTCCCGGCGGCATTCAGTGTTTTAAACAGGGAGTTGAACTCTTCCTGTCTTAGTCTCTTAAGTGCTTCCGTGAGGCACCACACTCGGTCAACAGTAAATGTCTTAAAATATGCTCTAATGCTAGCGAAATGTCCACTTTGAGCTACTGCTGCCAACATTACTACACAGTGCGCCTAGAGTCAAGCCTACTATCCAGAGACCATTTCCCAAACACAGGCTGCTGTACCTCTGCAGGGAGACCAACAGAAACATAGAACACCTTACTTCCTCCTAATTTTCTCGCCTTCCTCCACCCATGTTCTTACCCCTCAATCTCCTCTGTGGCCACCCTCAGAAGCATCTGCTCCCCTGAAGCTTGGGCCCCGGTGAATACAGATCGTATAGGGATGCGGGACTGCTTTGTAACTGGCTTCAGAATGCAGGTGGTTTTTCCTTGTCTCTCTGAGTCTCAAAGACCCAGGGTACCAAGGGCAAAGCACCCTCAGGGCCCGCCTCTCTACATCTGATCAGGGATCCTCCTCCAGCCTTCACTCTACTGAACAGATTTCCCTTGCGTGTTCCCAGGCGGCACCTACCTAGGGAAGGTCTGAGAAAGGAGTAGCACTGGGCAGTGGGCAAAACCCGGAGGGAAGCAAGGTCTGATTATACAGAGAGAGATGGAAGGGGACATGGGGAGGGGCCATGCATGGGGCTGTCACATCCTAAGCTGGGCTCTCTCTTACAGAGGAGAGCGTATTGCACAGCCTGTGAACCTGTGAGGAAGTATAAGGTAAGCCAGAAAGCCCCATGCCATTCTTGGGGTAACTGAGAAAAGGTCCTCGTTTGCCCCCAGAGATACTCTCAAGCCCTGAGCCAGCCTCCTAGAAGGGAGGGAGAAAAGTGCTAGTGGGCAAGTCCACAGCCCTAGGGAGCTCGGCCAGGGGACCCGTGGGCAGTGGGAGTTGTCCTACCACCTATGCCTGCCTCTTCCCAAAGACCCTGCCTCCCATCACAAACCAACCATCTCTCAGCCGGCCTGCCAGCTGGAACCTGAAGTTGGCAAAGGAGGAGACATCGTGGCCATGTCCTCAACCACCTGTACCAGGCCTGCTCTGTCTAGGCCTCACGGCGAGGGCCCATGCCATTGACTACTACCTGGTCAACTTCTTCTCTGAGTTTCCCTGCCACTTCCTGTACCGGTGAACTCTTGGGAAAGCATGGGCCACCTTCCTCTCATCTTAATCCTCTCCCCGCTTGTAGGGCAGCAGTGTCCACACTCAACCTTTAGGAAGGTTTGAAGCAAGAGCAGAGGCAGTCATAGGGCGCCATAGGCCTGAGATACCATCATTACTGCCTAGGTCCCTTGTGGTTGTTTGTTGGTTGGTTGGTTTGTAGTTTTTTTTGAAACAGAGTTTGTCTGTGTAACAGCCCTGGCTGTAGCGCACTTTGTAGACCAGGCTGGCCTCGATGCTTAAGTCGTTTGGAAGAGGGTGATAAAGAGGCCCCTGAGAAATCCACCAAGGCTTCCCACTCTCCCCTTTTGTCGTCTTGGAGCCTCTGGGTCCTGCTCTAACCTAAGGGTTGGGTGTGGCTCTCTTAGGACAGCAACCACATTGTGTTAAGCCTGGGAGTGTGCCCAGCATATTTACGTCCTCACGACTGGGCAGCTATCATCATGGCTTGTGCCCCGCTGCTGCAGCCTAGTAGCAAAAACTTTCCAAGTCCGCTCAGAATATCCTGGTCTGCCCCAGGGAGCTGCCAAAGAGGAAATCCTCCAGGGAAGAGGCGAAAGCTTTTGAGGAAGAACTCCCCGAAAAGGAGGGTCCTATCTCGAGGCAGAAGCAGCAGCTTCTGGTCGACTGTCTCACCACCATCATCAGGTACCAACTGCTCTGTGCCTCTTCATCCTCACCCTCCCACCTCTCCAGCTGCGTCGGAGAAAGCTTCGGAAACTCCAGTACTCCTCTCTCTGAGGAAAAGAGAATTCCTTTGCAAGATCCCGCTCCTGGAGGACCCTTGGGACAGACAGAACAGGTCTAATAGAGCTGGTTAGACAGACCTCCAGAACTGAGTCCTGCTGATTTCCCTTTCTACAGCTGGTCTTGATGTTATCTAGAGCCAGTTGCCTATGACCTCGGGAGCCCTGCCCTTTATCTGTATTGTGACTTGCTGGCTCTGCCTGCACCACATCCTGGTCGCCTCTAAGCCTATAGGCTTTCCTCCCAGACCTAGCACTTGATAGTAAAAACAGTAGCCAGAACTGTCCCTTAGGAAGCAGGGGAGCCAGCCAACATTGTCCTAGCTGAAAGCCCTTTCGTTATATTCCATCCCTTCTTCTTTTTTTTTTTCCTGCCCAGGGGCCTGCTGGAAGACAAGAATTTCCACGAGGCTGTGGACCAAAGCCTGGTGGAGCAGGTCCCTTACTTCTGCCAGTTCTGGAACGAGCAGTCGGCCAGGTTCCTGGCCCAGAAGAGCAGCTTGTACTTAACGCCCGTCCTGTCCCTTCCCTCCAGCTGCTTTGAGGAAGGAAAAGACAAAGAGCAGGGGGAGGACAAATATGGCTTTGGAAAGAATGCAGGGGAAGGTGATGAGGATGATGAAGAGGAAGAGGAAGAAGAGGAGGAGGCAGAAGAAGAGGAAGAGGAGGAGAGAGAAGAGGAGGAGCTGAGCAAGGAGGAGATAGAAGAGGAGATAGACAAGGAAGCGAAGTTGACCTGGTCAGAGATTAAGGCCACCGCACAGCCACAGCCCTCTGAGTCCCAGCAGTCCCTGCAGTGGCATTGGCAGCAGGATCTGAAAATCGTGATCAAGGAGGAGCAAGAGAAAGATGAGAAGGAGGCCATTGGACGGTGAGCCGCTGGGACCAGAGAACTGGGAAGAGGCTTACACCGAGGCTGGCCCCAAGCTGTGTGTGACGCTCTTCCTAACTCGGGTCCCAGGGACAACCTCTTGGTGTAGTGTAAGATTTGGGTGGGAGGATTTTCCGAAGAGCAGACCCCAGTTTTATGTAGTGTGTGATACCTGATTGATAGCATTTGCCAGCGCAGCACTACCGGCAGTAGGGTGGTAGGCTTTAAAGTCTCTCCACTAGACAGGGAGGCCAGAGGACAAGTTCCACTTTTCTGATACCACTTTCTCCGGGGGCTTTTTTGGGGGGCAGTTTATTCTGTCCCTTGGGATTCCTTGGCCCCACACAGCCGCTTCTGCATCCTCTCATCACTACCATCCTCCAAACCTGGCTCTGCCGTGACAACTGCCAGGTTTGATTCTTAGCCACATACCTTAGCATCTGTGACATCGCAGCAGGATGCCCCCATAGTGTTAGGGCTGGGGGGTAGGGGTTCCAGTGGGAATCTGTGCAGCGCCCCTCCCCCCCTTGCACGGCACACGTGCACACCGCTAAGTGGAGAAGTGGCTTGTAGACCTGTAACCTTGCTAACAAGAGCAACACCCTCCTCCCAGGCTACCCGCCTTTGCCAACCTGCAGGAGTCGATACTAGAGAACATGATCCAGAACATACTGGTGGAGGCAAGCCGTGGAGAAGTGGTGCTCACCTCCAGGCCCCGCATCATTGCCCTGCCACCAGTCAGCGTGCACAGGTCTCTTGGGGTTGTACTCATTGCTTGGAGGGGAGCAAGGCAGGAGATGCATTCAGATGTGGTTGGAAGCCCCACCCTCATTCCTACCCTCGGCTTTCTGTTTTGCAGGACAGACACCCTGCTGCCCATGCAACCAGAAGTAATCTGCACTGAGATACAGCCCCCTACTGACTGTTTGCTGGTGCCATCATCCAGCCCCTCATACATGCATGTCTAATCCCCCCCCTTTATCGTCCTGCTAGTAAAACATTTAGCAACCCCTCTCCCCATATAATTGGATTTTATTTCCCCCTGCCTGGAGAAAGAAGTATGTTGAGATGTGTGGAAGGGAGGTGAGAGCTGCTGGTGTGGACCACAGAGACCCGCCATACCTTTAGAAATGGGAGGATGAGTTTCCCCTGGGCTTGTAAGAGTGTTTGATACTTGCAGAGGGGTGCTGGACTTAGTCTGGCCAGTGGAGGGCACTTCAGGAGGGGCACAGCTGGTCTTTGCTACAGCGTATCCTGGAAGACAAGAACCCCAGTGCTAGGCCTGCTGGGCTAAGCAGGTGGCCCCGGAGGCTGAATGGACACTCCTTCCCACATCTGTTCCCCAGCACCTCCAAGGCCGGCCTGGTTCCTTGAACTCTTCTAAGAGGATAAGAAGAAGCCCAGCGGTGGTGGTGCACGCCTTTAGTCCCAGCTCTCGGGAGACAGAGACAGGAGGATCTCTGTGAGTTCCGGGCCAGCCTGGTCTATAGAGCTAGTTCCTGAACAATCCATCAGATCTACATAAAGAAACCCTGTCTCTAAAAACCAAACCAAAAACAAAATAAACAAACAAAAAAGGTTAAGAAGTAGGGGAAACTGAGGTACTCAATAGCAGCAGGCACTTTTGGAAGCCACGGTTTAAGGGGCTACGGACGCTGCTAAATGACCCCCATTACCAATCCTCAGACCCAGAGATGGTCTACCTTCACTAGGACGTCCGCCTCTGTTTTTTCCCTAAGCCCGGCCCGGCAGCCTCTGTCCTCTGCTCCTCCCTGAGCTCAGAGCCAGGTGGGTGGAAAAGTGACATCTGGTGTTGTTCCAGAGGCGCTCAGGTCCCCGGCACCCTCCCCTGCGTTCCCCTTTCCCCCCCACCCCCCACCCCGCGCCTCCAAGGCCTCTGCAGAAGCTTGGTCTCTGAAGCCAGGGCGGGGGAGGGCGACGCTCCGCCTCCATGAGTCAATATTTGCCCCGAGCAAACGGGCGCCCGGACAGGTGTGTGTGTGTGTGTGTGTGTGTGTGTGTGTGTGTGTGTGTGTGTGTGTGTGTAGGGGCGGGGACTGAACTGGCAGTATAAGAGTGCTCTGAACCCCGGCTAGGGCACAGGCTCCGGGGCGTGGGCTGGGGACGAAGCCAAGCCTGGCTGGTTTGGGCGGAGGGGCAGGAAAGCTGCGCAGGAGGGTGGCCCGGGAGGGAGGGGCGGGCCAGGTGTGCACCTGTGGCGTCCGCCGCTGCCGCCGACGTGTCAGCTCCACCGGTGCGCGCAGGGGAGAGCGGCGGCCAGCTAGCGGAGCGCGGTGTGGCGCTGCCCTCGAGGAAGATCCCCCACGAGACATCGCCGACGAGCGCCGCCAGGCCCCGGGTCCTCCGCTCCGGCCCCGCGACGAGCCCCTCGCACAAACCGGACCTGAGCGTTTTGTTCGTTCGGCTCGCGTGAGGCCGGGGCGGCTTCTCAACACCAGCCCCGGGGCCGGCCCGATCGCCACGCAAGCAAGCAAGCACCTGCCCGCCGCCGCCGCCGCCGCCGCCACCGCCGCCGCCACCATATGGGTCGCAGAGACTGCGCACCGTGCCCGGGGGACATCCGGCTCCCATCAGGCCCCGCCTGCCCTGCCCGCAGACTCTGAGCTGCCAGGCACAGCTCGCTGCAGGGTAATGCGGGCTGAGCAGGCTCCAGCGGGGTGGCTGGAGTGGGCTGAGGTCCAGAACAGATCCCCTTCTGAAGGTGGAAACTGGGATTCTAGCCCCGCTCGGTCGGGGCGAATTCTGTGGCCTTGGGCAAGTGTTTCCCCAGCCTCTTGGTTCTCGTGTTTGCAAAAAAAAAAAAAAAAAAAAAAAAAAAAAAATGAGGCAGCCTTGTTTCTCACAGGAGTGAGGGCCTCCGCCAACCTCTTTAACCTGGTTCCTGGGCTCCTACCACTCTGTTGAATCCCTTTAACCTGGCCCTCTAAGAGCCGGTGCCAGAGCTGTGAGGTGTAGAAAATTTGAGCTGAAAACTTCTGTGTCGACTCAAATCTACCCCTCCAGCTCTCTTTCACGCTGCCGCAGCCACCCCAAAATTTCTCTTGTACCACCTCCTGGGACCGTTTTTCAGTCCAATCAAATCTGAGATCAGCAAAGAGGACAAACTCAGGGTCTTCAGACACAGGACAGAGCTCACCACCTTTCTCAAACCCCATAATCTTGTATTCTCTGCATCCCAGTCCCACAGGCTAGTCTGAGTGAGTCTAGGTAAGCGCTCAACTCAGCCAGAGTTCCGCCATGGATCATTAGTCACAACCCAGACCTGGGATGGGCCACCTCCATTTCAGTTACTTAAAATGCTGTGACCTGGCCTGCAAGAAGGGGATTGTCTTACACTCTGGCAGAGGAGCCCAGACTGAGAGCTCCCCACAAGGGGGAGAGGCTAGGCCAGAGAGGAGTGAGTCTGTCCTCTGATTCCAGGTGCCTTCCACACCCACTTCTGAGAATGTGTGGTGACAAAGGCCAGCTGTCGGATGACAGAAAAAGCATCCTCGCCCAGCAGCAAGGATCCCTTAGCTGGTTTCCCATTCGGGTCAAGGAGCACTGGTGGAGAGTGGTACCCCACACACGGAGACAGAAGCAATGCCAGGAAGATGGAACACTAGGATCACAGTTCAAATGTCCCCAGAAGTGCTGTCTTGTCCCATCCGCCACCCCTTCACTGCTGCCCAGGGGCCCCACAGAATCTGCTGAGCTCTTGAGGGATGTTTTTAAAGTAGCTCTGATGAGGAGAGGGTGGGCTCTTGCCTGAGCTAGGCCCAAGGCCAGGCTAGATCCACATGTCCTCAGATGCGTATACGTAACCCCCATCCTGGCCTCCTGGACCAGGTTCATCCCTTGGCACAATCCTCCTCCCTTGCCCTTGCTGGCACTAAGCGAATTACCCTTCAGCAGCCCGGATCACCCTCTGTGTCTTTGACAGCACACTCTTCCCCTCCCCAATGATGGCATGGAGCTAGTGCTCCTTGGACCTTCCAGATCTTGAGTCTGCACAACGGAGGTCCCTCCCTGGAATGGTCCCCAGAATATATAAAAAAAACAGCCCTTGGAAGTAGGGTGACAAAAAAAAAAGACCACGCAGTGTGCTGAGGATCTGTCCTGGTGATAGGCATTACTGCCCCTTCCTAAATCCTCCTTCCCAGTATCCCCACCCCCTACCCATTTCCAAGATTCACTTTTCCAGGCCATCGCGGGGCATCTGGCCTCTCCTCTGGGTCCCTCCCCTTCAGACCGAGGTGGAGTCTGACAAGCCTGCAGGTGCTGGGATGGAAGGGGGGGGGGTACACAGCAGCTGGTGTGCGGGCTGCCCCTCCCCCTTCCTGCTCGAAGCCAGAGCCTGCTTCCTGTCTTCCCTGTCAGCACTCCGGGTTGGGGGGGGAACAGGTAGGGGGAGGAAGAGGGAAGGGACAGATGAGTTGAAGTGCTGCCCTGGGGGTAGGGGTGGGGGAGATGGGGAGACCCAGGAACAACAGAGGAGAAATGGCCAAAGGGGTGGCTGAGGAAGAAGAGGCCTGAGAACAGGGGCAAAAGGCAGATGGAGAGTGTAGCTCAGAGCCAAGTCAGGTCAGAACCAGAGGGGAGCACTCAGGCAGGGAAGGGAGAGCTACAGAACCTTCAGACCGTGGAGGCAGGACCTGGGGGGAAACCAGGGGCAGAGGCAGAGAGAAAGCAGACACATGCAGGCACACACCACACACACACACACACACACACACACACACACACACACACACACACACGGACAGACGAGACAGAGCAGAGAGAGAGAGAAAGAGACAGACAGAGACAGACAGATTCTTATGGAAGAACTAAGATGGAAACCAGGGAGGAGAGGACTAAGAGGTCCAGTGGGTAGAAGTAGAAAGTGAGAGATGTGGTGGAGGGAGAAGACGGTGTGAAAACAGGTTGGAGTGTGGAAATGGCCCCAAGGGAGGAGACTGAGGTGGGCCTCGAATGGTAACTGCCAGGGCTGGTAGGATGAACACTCTCCTCCCATTAAAAGCCAGAAGATGGAAAGGCACAAGGCTCACACATGCAGTCCCTGAACAATGACTACTCCATCTTTCCCTGTCAGGTCACTGTGGAGCAGCTGCCCTGCCCCCACCCACCCTGATGCATCTGGCTCAGCCTTGGAAACTTCAGGGCTTGGAGGCTTCTCAGGGGTCTGCTTGAGAGTGGAGAGACTTAGGAGTGGGGGCTCACATCCAGGTGCTAATCCCTATCCAGCCAGGTTGGGACCAGAGCCTTGGTGACCTTCTTGGAGATTAATCCCCATGGAGATGCAGCTCACCCCCTCACTCTGGCTAGGCCAGGTGGGTAGCTGGTGGGGCCGGTGGGGCAAGCCAGGGGCAGGATGGGGAGGGAAGAGAGTCTTCTTCAGACGTGGCAGGACCAAGGCCTCCTCCGGCAGCCAACTTAATTTACAGGTGAAAAACTGAGGCCCCATGCAAGGGATGGGGATGGGGGAGGGCTGGTAAAGGCCACTTATGGAGCCAAGAAAACCAGAGGAAACAGGGGTCAGGTCTTCAGCTCTGCTCCTCACCTTTTTTCCCTTGACAGCAGAGGCCTGAGCAAGAATGGGGGACTTGGAACATATCCCCTGACCTGTCAATCTTGCGTCAGCAGAGTGGCTCCGGGGAGAAGGAAAGCGAAAGGCCTCCTGTGGAGAGCTCTGCTGGCTTCCTGAACCAGGATCAGGTTAGAAAAGAAGGTTAATGATCCCAGGGCTGTGCTCGCTGCCTAACCCCTCCCAATCCAACCCCAGAGGAAGTGGGGAGAACCCTGAGACAAAGACGGTCACAACCCGAAAATATACCAGCAGCAACGGCTACCATCTGTTGAGCGTGTATTGCAGGGTGGTTCTGTGTTTTACATACATTTAAATCCCCACAGCAGTCAAGACAATGATTCCCATTTCACAGAGGAGAAAATGGAAGGGTAAAGTGCAGACTAAATGGCTTTTGAACAGTAGAGCTAGGATTTGATCTCAGGCAGCAACATGGCTCCAGAGCCCAGCTAGCCTTCAGTACCTTCGTGATCACAGCTAAATAGTTAAGATGACGCCTCTCTGGGTTACTGCAGAGGGGCCATTGTGTGCATGTCAAAGTGCATGAGGGTGCACCCCAGTGTGAGCCCCCCCCCCCCATGCTTGGCACATAAATGACTGAACAGGCATTTTCCCACAAACGGGTAGATGCTGAGGTGTCCATTGAGCCCCAGGACAGGTCATATCAAGTTTTGAGATCGTGCCCACATACCTGTCACTGAGGATGACTCTACCTCCACCTCACTGAGAACCTATGTGCACGTATCCTTGCCCTGACGTCCTAGAAGAGTCTTGTGGCCTTGTGTTGAAATTGGTTCATAGAGGTGAAAGCCACCTCTCACCTCTTTGGATGGAGATCAGTTCTCCAGCCCTACTGAGGGACAGATAAGCTAGGGTGGGATAATGGGTCTATGTGGGTGGGGCTCCCATCTGTATGATGAACTGGGTTTGTCTCACATTGACTTATCTCTGTCTCCTGGGAGACAAGGCTTGTACAGCCCCAGGGAAGGAGCTCATCAGCCTGTTCCAGACCTGAAGTGGGCGGGGCCTGGAGAGCTAGGAGGCTGCCGAGGACAGGCTGGCAATGGGACCTGGGTGGATGAGGGCACCACTCTCAGAATTTGCATTTTTCAGTCCCCAAGGCCCTGGATAATTTCCCTGTGAAATGAGGGGAAGAGGTGGGATCAGGCCACCTTGAGGGAAGGACATTAGCCACCAATACCTCTAAACTGTCCAGCAGTACTGAGAAACAGGCTTCTTCATGGATTAAGGCTCCATATAGGGGCAGTGCCCCTTCCCTAGGCATTCTCTGGATCTTTACTGAGATGGAGTTGTGGATGGGAACTCAGGATTGGGTCTGGGCACTTATCTGCAGAGTCCACAAGTTCCCACATGGGATGGAGGATTTGGGTGGAGTGTGAGCTCCTCCTTATGGAAGCAGTCAAGCTCAAGCCTGAAGGTTCCTTGTGGATCCAAGGGTCAACATGGAATGGGTATTTTCTTAAAATCATGGGGTGGGGATAGACAGAACAAGAGTGGTGATGTGGATAAGGTCTTAGGACTCCTGGGATGTGTGTGCCAAAGGTCCCTATGTGAGATGATCACCTCAGTGGGGTCAGAGAGCCTTGTGAGATCTCCAAGTGATTTGGGGGGTATAAAGCTGAGGTTGCTGGGTTTCTGGTTTGGTTTTGTTTTTTTCCTGACTGTTCCCTGAATGTCAAATCTGTGGATGTGGAGGAGGTAAAAGGGATGGTACTAAGCTGGCAAACAAAGCCACCTGGGCATCCATCCTTCAGGAAGCTCTAAGCTCAACCAATCTGGGAAAACAAACAGGAACAGCTGCTGGGGGTAGGAGGGGGGAAGAGAGGGAGACCAGGGGCTGGAGCTGGACCAGGCCGCTGGGGATGGGAGGATAATGGAAGGCATCTACAGCCCAGCATCCCTCGTATTTTCTTCTGGCCCGTCAAGGTGCAGGGGCTGCCTGGGAGGTTCCCGGCCTCTCTCAGTGGTGTCTTCCCTTTCTCATTCTCTGAGGCTTGGGGGACATGCGACCTCAGTTGCTGTGGGTGGCAGAAGCAGGTGTGGTGGTGACAGATGTGCCATTTAGCTGACTGCAGATAGAACTAAAAACCATGGATGTGTGGTGCAACCTTTATATTTTCCTGATGAGGAAACCCCAGTGCAGATGGAGCGGGGAGACTGGCTGCTGCCAAGAGAATGTCCAACTGGAAAGCATAGACTTTCATAGAAATCACCACCCCCCAAACCAGGATACTCCTAATTCTAAGGAGGAGCTCATCTTCCCTCTGTGTCTTTCCAAACCCTGGAGCGAACACATCTCTGAGGACTCCTAACGAACACACGGACTGGAAGATGCCCCCACCCCAGGCCTAGCTCCTGCCAAACATGACAAACACAGTCTCGGAGCTAACACATGGGCACAGTCACCAACAGCATAGACGTATAGCCTGCAGTCACCACCACAGCCCCTCCTAAGCAACACCCCCCCCCACACACACACACCCCCAGGTCTGGCTTTCTGGCCAGTGCAGACTGGCTCCGCCCCCTGGTGGCCACCTCTAGAATTGTCCAATAGAAGGAAAATGATCTTTTATTATGTATTTTTTCTTTTCTCAAGCCTCACTTCTTGCTGCAGCCAGGACTTGTGACACAGAGCAGAATCGAGACTACTAAGCATTCAGGAGTAGCTGCTGTCCTATATGGAGTCAGGACTTTCCCCTATGGTCTGGGAAAAATCATAGTCCTTTTATGTTTGTCTAGCCCTCTCTAGGGAAGAGTCAAGCAGCTGAGCAGTAATTCCAGCTCCACGCTCAATCAAACCTAGTCAGGCTTATCCTATTTTCCACCCATGTTCCCCTGACTTGGACTATAGCCTCAACTCAAGTTCATGTATGTGACTCCCAACAGCCTTTTCTCACTAGTGAACGGAGAGGCCAAAGGGAGGTGCTGTCTCCCCCCTCCCCCAGAAGCTCAGAACTCCAGAAATGGGATTAGTAGGAAGGGCAAACCATCATCCCCACACCACTGGAGATGTTCTTGTACACTCCTTCCCCGGGGGCATTTGGCCCACAGTTGGCCATCTTGTTAATTCACTCCAGTTTTATTGAATTCCTGCTCCGTATCATGCTAGGTTTGAGGAGGATAACTGGGAACAAGGCAAACATAGTTCCTACCCATTTGTGTGGGGCTTACAGTCTGGTGAAGGAGGCGCCGGTGCCTTCATGAACTAAGAGGAGGGTATCTTCAGACGGGCAAATGCTAGAGAGGAAATGGACGCGATGGGTGGTAAGAGTGCTGTGACTAGCATCACCCACAAAGTGGCAGGGGAGCTGCATGCCAAGAGTGTGTGGTTAAGACGCCCCAGGGGACTCAAAGGGCAAATGTAAAGGCTCTGGGCTGGGAACGGACTCGGCAGATTAGGTGAAAGATGGCGCCTTAAGTAAGCTTCCAGGAGTTGGGGTGGGAGGCAACAGAACAAAAATCCTGGCTTTTCTTAACTCTGAAACTGGCCAGTTGCGAGTTTGCACAGAGCCCCGAACCAGGTTGAGTTTCAATTTCCACATTTGTGTGTGCAAACTGAACCCACCAGGCTGCTGTTGAGTTTATAAGGGAGGCGCTTGGCAAACAGGAGTGGCAAAATAGTTCCCTCCACCCGCCACCTCTCCTGCTGGGATAGCCTCTCACCATTAAAGAGCACTTGCATTACAGATCTGCAAGAAGCTCGTGTCTAGTTGACAGCTAACGGTGAGGCGAACCTGCACCTACCTCCCTGGGGCTCTAAGCCTTTATTGCCACCCCCAGCGCCTCCCCGCCACCCCCCTCCGCCGCCTATGTCAGGAGCCCGGCATTCTAGGGCTCGAGCGGCCTCGGCTCTCTAGCGGGTGGTGGGGAAGGTTGAGATGCTTTTTCTACCTAGGACAGTCAATCCTCCTGTTGGCACCAGTAGTCCTAAAATCCAAGCAAACATAATAAGCCCTCCCGAATGCTTTTTTGTGTTTAGTGCCGCCTGGCGGCGAGGCCTGGTCTGGACCTCGGGGCGGGAGAAGTCTAGTTGGGAAGCCCAGCTCGGGAAGAAAGGGCAGTGATGGACAGATCTTCCAGCGAAAGGAGGCCTGGGGGGCTTGATGCAGGGTCGTTAGAGAAGGGTCTTCTCTTCCTCCGCCCTAGCGACGCCCAAAAGAGATCTTCACCTAGGGAGTTTCAGCATTGGGAAGAACCGTGCTGGGTCAGGCTTAGGAAAGGCTAAGTCTCGGGCTTAGCCTTCACGCCTGAGAGTCTGTGCCAGGGTGTGCATGTTCTGCCCCTAGCCTGGGAGTCTCTGCCAGGCTTAAGCCTCCACTGAAAGAAAGCGCAGAGTCAGCCTGGGCTCCTGCGGACACGCGATGTGCGCCTCAGCATTTTCCGTTGTCACCCCGGCGGCGGACTGGGACCAGATCGGTGGCTCCGCTGCCTGTGCAGACCAGGGCTGACCAAAGCCTGCCAGCTGACTCAGCTGGCCCACCGCGCCCGGATCCCACAGGGAGAGGCAGCCAGACGCGGGTATAAAGCGCTGCGCACCAGGCTCGCGCGCAGCCTGTCCATTCTCCGGGCGTGCGGTGCTCACCCATCCCGTGAGTACCTGGGGCTGGGGAAAGGGAGGGAGAAACGAGGGAAAGCCCCTGCCTCCCGCAGTCTGTATCTAGACCCAGGCCGGATCCAGCCCCAGGGTCCGGTACACCCTGCCGGGGATGGGCAGGCTTAGGTTAAGTAGAGGGCTCCTGAGAGCTTAGTCAGTGATCCCGCCCTACCTAAACCGCAGCGGCATGAGCAGCGCCCCCGCGCCGGGCCCGGCGCCCGCCTGCCTCACACTCTGGGATGAGGAGGACTTCCAGGGTCGTCGCTGCCGACTGCTGAGCGACTGTGCGAACGTCTGCGAGCGAGGAGCCCTGCGCAGGGTGCGCTCGGTCAAGGTGGAAAACGGCGCGTGAGTGAGCCTGCCGCGGCGGCGGCTGAACTAATTCAGGGGGTGTCCAGCTTCTCTCATTTCCACCCCAGCCAAAGTCAGAGCCTGGGACTTCAGCCTCCACTCCAGGATGCCCCTAGACAGATTCATCAACGAGAGAAGCCTTGGTCCTCTCCAAAACTCCCAACCATCCCCCAAGACAAAGGCGAGACACAATCCACGGGGCGCCCTGAAACCCTAACAGGTTTCTTTGTGAGAAGTCAGGTGGCTTTGTGGAGACAGATCCTTCCTGCCGGCCCCCTCTTAATAGCCTAGAAGCCAGCTTGGGGTCTTGGAGAGAGCTGAGGTTTCTTTGCAGGCCGGAGGGCTGGATGCATCCCTCCGAAGGCACATGAATCCCTGAAGACAGTCCTTGATCTGGTGATGTTTATAAACCGAAGCATTCCTTCTAACCTGTGGGCCGTGAATGGGAGGCCTAGGCCCTTCCAAGCCCCGAAAGCACTGGGTTTGGGATTTTCATTCTCCAGAGGGGCTGGGTGTGTCTGGGGAATGATCTAGAGTTGGAGAAAGAGTTTGGGTCCCTGGGTCTTTTTTTTTTTTTTTTTTTAAATCACAGCAAACAAGGTGATAATGATGGTGAGGGAGACTGGACAGATGCCTCCCAGCTCCCCTTCTCCTTTTTCAGATGGGTGGCCTTCGAGTACCCCGATTTCCAGGGACAGCAGTTCATTCTAGAGAAGGGAGACTATCCCTGTTGGAGTGCCTGGAGCGGCAGTAGCAGCCACCACAGCAACCAATTGCTGTCCTTCAGGCCAGTGCTCTGTGCGGTGAGCACGGCCCACTTCCCCTCCTTTTCCGTCGCCTAGCTCCAGGCCCCAGCAAAAGCGTGGTGCCTTGGAAAACCTACTCCCCTGAACAGGATATGCGAACAAACTCCTGGCGGGGAGGGGCGGTGGTCGTGGCATTACTCCAGAACCAAAAACGTCTGAAAATTGGGGCTCTGGACACAGTTCTGGATCAGCACCACGGACAGCATCAAAGACAGCCAGTTCTGAGCATGCCCGGCCCTGGTCTCAGTCCACCACAGGTGTGAGGAACCTTTGTCATCACGCAGTCCCAGGAGGCTGAGGTGGTTGCTGTTAGCCCCATACACAGTCTTAGAAATGAGACACAATGTGACGTAACAGGGTCAAATGTGTTAACATACAGATGACACCAGGCTGAGAACAGGGGCAGTGTCAGCGTGTCTCTGAGTGTCGGAGAGGTGTGTGTGTGTGTGTGTGTGTGTGTGTGTGTGTGTGTGTGTGTGTGTGTGTGTGTGTGTGTAAAATAATGAGTCAAATGTCCCAGAGAGGAGGTCCCCACTCTTCATCCATGCTCACTTAGGTATTGGTGAGTCCTGGGGCTGATGATAAAGGTTAGTGGACCCAGTCCAGTCCAATTTATCTGTTCCCAGAGGCTGTGAGGGACCATAACCCTGCAGGAGGAGGACCTCTGTGCTAGGAAGGCCAAGTGCAGCCAACACCACCATGCCCACCTGTCTGTTCTGACTGTTCCATCCAGCATCCGTTAGCTGGGTCCCAGTCTGAGAGGGGCAGCAATGGGAAGTTGAGCAAGGAGTTGGGTGGTCAATGAGGCTCTTAAAGAAATATCCTGGTTGCGGGGCGGTGGTGGCACACGCCTTTAATCCCAGCACTTGGGAGGCAGAGCCAGGCGGATCTCTGTGAGTTCGAGGCCAGCCTGGACTACCAAGTGAGTTCCAGGAAAGGCACAAAGCTACACAGAGAAACCCTGCCTCAAAAAACCGAAAAAAAAAAGAAAGAAATATCCTGGTTAAGGGGCCAGACTTTTGTCTCAGAGACTAATTTCCTCCTAAAAAGTAGGCCCAGGGCAAGAGTGGTACATGCCTATAATTCCAGTTTCTTTGGAGGCTGAGACAGTAGGATCACAAATTGAAGGCTAACCTAGCATTCTCAACTGGGTTTGATCCCCATTACCGCAAATAAAACAAAGAGATGACGGTAACAAAAAGGTTCTGTCCCTTCAGCCTTGAGCTCAAAGAATCCCTGGGAATTGCCTAGTTTTTGCAAACAACTCAAAAGTCTTGGCAGGGCCCAGATGGAGCCTCTGAGCATCCCAGCTGGCCAGACTTCCTGGGAGCTGATGAGGTGAACTCTCCTGAAATGCCTAAGAGGCTGCATGATATGTACTGAGCAGGAACTGGGTGACTAGGGTTGAGATTATATCCATGAACACCTCTTTGCAGGGCCTGACATCTCTGTAACCCCCATCCCCTATTTCTGTGCCTCAGAACCACGGCGACAGCCGTGTGACACTGTTTGAGGGGGAAAACTTCCAAGGCTGCAAGTTTGAACTCAGTGATGACTACCCATCACTGCCTTCCATGGGCTGGACCAGCAAAGATGTGGGTTCCCTCAAAGTCAGCTCTGGAGCGTGAGTGCTGGGGCTGGACCAGGGGAGATGGGGAGAGTGGGAAGTTCATGAAAACAAAAGAAAAGATGAGGGGATGATGGAGGGTGCTAGAGGTGAACAGAGGTGTGTGGGGGGGAATAAGAGGGTGGAAAGAGTGGGTAGAGGCAAAGCAGACCAGGAGCCACGGGAGTACGTGGGAATGTGGGGGGTTGAAAACTTGGGTGGATGGGGGAGACGGAGACAGGCTAAGACAGATCACAAGAAGACCCAGAGCAAAAGGCAGAGCTGGACCGATGGCTTCAGAGCTGGCTGCTGGTAGCTGGGACAGGGGACTATTGAGGGGACCAGACAGAAGGGAGTGATGCAGTGCCCTCCCACTATGGTTTTCTTCACTATCCTAGGTGGGTGGCCTACCAGTACCCAGGCTACCGAGGCTACCAGTACATTTTAGAGCGGGACCGGCACAGTGGGGAGTTCCGTACCTACAGTGACTTTGGCACACAGGCCCATACTGGACAGCTGCAGTCCATTCGAAGAGTCCAGCACTAGGCTTCGCATTCCCAGTCATCATCACCCCTAAGATTCTCAATAAAAGCTCTTGAATCTATCTGCCCCCCCCCCTTGTCTCTTTTCTTGGTGTCTTGGACTCCTTCCCCTGTGTGTGTGTGTGTGTGTGTGTGTGTGTGTGTGTGTGTGTGTGTGTGTATGTGTGTGTGTGTGCGCGCGCGCGCTGGAGCTTTATGCATTTGTACATCTCGATCTGTAGACCAGGCTGGCCTCGAACTCACAGAGATCCACCTGCCTCTGCCTCCTGAGTGCTGGGATTAAAGGTGTGTGCCTCCATCTCCATTCTTATCTTTCTGAGGATTGTTTCTTCCTTCCAATAAGGCCCCAGAACCTTTACCTATCAAGCATGACCTAACTTGGATGAGCATGGGTATGCTCTCAGGAGGCAAAGAGGAACAGCCAGCAAGAGCTGTGGGATCCAACAAGATGCAGCCAGTTCCAGATTTAGCCTTGGGAAAAGCCCACCCTCACAGGTCAAAGTATTGAAAGTCCAGATGGCGCCTTTGCCATTCTCTAGATGGATCAACAATCCTACCTTGAAGTAGGATCCACAGCTGAATTTCAACCACCACACACTCCCTGGGTCAGGAAGCACCCTGCAGGACAGAGTATCGTGGGCCACATGCAAAAGCTCTTCTTGGTTCCGCACCCCCACCCTGGGCCATCTTCAGTTTGTGTCTTCACCCTGGCTTCCATCCAGCCAGGGTAACCTGCCAGTGTCTTTCAATAGTCCCCTTCCTTTTGTTCCCAGGAGAAGCATTAATGGGAGGTCCCACTGTCCACTGTGTCCTTCTACAGGGGAGGCTTTATCCTTCTGAGCCCAGACCCAAGACTCTAACAGCAATCATTTTTACCTCCTGTGACATTAAACTTCATCTGCCTGTAAACTGAAGCTTCTGATCCATGCCTCGTGTGTGTCCAGGAGTTGTTGTGAGGATTTAATAAGAACACCCTAAGGGTATGTGGAAGGTTGTGGAAAAGCACTGGAATAATGGATGTAGGACCCCCCACCTGCCCTGTCATGGGTCTCAGAACCAAGGATCAGAGCTCTCAGTATGTATGAATTCTGAATGGGCTTTAGAGTCCATGGCTCCTGTTGCATCTAATCCTCCAAATAGCCTCCACTCTTCATCTACCTCAGTAACAAAGAAATTGGGGCTTACAGAGGTTACCTGCCCAATCAGTGACTAAGCCAGAGTTTGAAAACAGGGCTCCTGGATGCCAAGTCCAGGTTCAATTAAGGCTAAATTGAGCTGTGGCTAAAATCTCAGTTTTAAATAAAGCCTGAAACATATGTGGGGTTCCTGACTGGTCATCTCTTGCAGGTTGGTAGTATTAACAAAGCTAAATGCATACAACTTGGTCCTTAAGCACTTACCACGTGCTATCTTATGAAAAGCTCACACCATGCAGATGTGTAAATTTTCAATTTTAAGACAATGAGACTACGCACAATTCAAATGAGATTTAACTTCCACAATGTCACGCAAGTAGAAAATAGACAAGATTCCAGAACCCAGGCCATCTTGGCTTTAGAGCCCATCTCCTCACCTGTTGCCAGAAATAGGTAATGAGAGAGAGAGAGAGACAGAGAGAGAGAGAGAGAGAGAGAGAGAGAGAGAGAGAGAGAGAGAGAGAGAGAGAGAGAGAGAGAACCCTGGTACCTTCTCTTGGATGAGTGATCCTCCTGCTAAGAGCATCTATGGTCACTTGGGAAGCATCAAGAAGACACCTCCAGGACCTAGCAGAGGGACCCTGGAGAGTTTGCTGAGGGTCTTGGGTTTGTTTGACCCAGCTTTTGCCAGCATGGATGTTTTTAGGTTCTCCTGGATCCAGGAGTCACATTCTGCTTCCCACATCTATCATCCCCTGGCAGCTTATAAGGAGAGGTTGAAGTAATCATATCTGAGAGTTGTATTGTAATCTCTGGTTCTCCCATTCTGGACAGGCTGGTGGTCTGTAGACTCAGGAGGACCCATGACAGCTTGGCAGGGAGACAATGGAAGAGAAGCTGTCATTGACCGCTAATATCTGTCATCAGGAGGAGATGGAGAAAGTGGAGTGGGGAGACTTCCCTACACACACACACACACACACACACACACACACAAAACTCTCCTCCCTTCTGCCTCAGCCTCCTGCTGAGAGTAGTAAGTGGATGAACCTCCAAGCCTCCCAGCTCTTCCTGGTTTTACCTTCTTGCTGTTGCCATCTGTCAGTAGTGGTTGGAAGGAGCGAGAAGAGGGTGCAGGAGGAGGACTGAGCTGCAGCACCCTGAGGCCCTTTCCTGTGGTGTCCTAAGCTTGTTCCCCCACACACCCCAGCCTCTGCATTTGTTCCCACTAGATTCCATGTCTACATCCTGAAGTCTCCATCCCTGTCTCGAGAGGCTTCTGGTGACTGCCTCCCACAATCCTCTTCACCTTTGCACCTCTGACTAGCAAAGATGAGCTCTCCTGTGACTTACAGCAAGCGAGGGTGGACAGGGTCCCTGCAGAACCCGGGCAGGATTTTTGCACAGTCCTCCAACAGGCACCCTAGGGACATGGACCCTGCAGGAGGCCTGCCCATTTCCAGCTCTCCTAGCTCCTGCGTTTAAGTGAGAGGATGACCCACAGAACAGCAAGTCTGACAGCAGCTATCCCCTGCCATCTGTGTCGCATATCACATACCCAAGTGTCACAGGGTTGCAGAAAAGGCATTCCTAACCCAGGGTCCCAACTCCAGTTTCAGGGCTGGGAAATCTCACAGGTACCCAGACACCCTGGTCTTCTTGGAAGCCACATCACACACTAGGAAAGGCACAGGTACAGGCTCTATTATGATCCCTGTCACCCAGCAGTGTAGTTCAGTCATGACCAGCATGGGCGTGTTTGTGGGAGTGGGGAAGGGTAGGAGAGAAATAGTTGTGGTGAGAAGTGGGAAAAAGAATAGGAATCTACAAGGGGGGAAAAAGCAGCTTATATTCATTCTGTCTCAGGCTAGACAAGAGGGTCCACGGGCAACCAATTTACAGGAATTGATCAGATGAAAAGAGGGGAGGAAGAGGGGAGAAAGGAGGAGAAAAACGTAGCAGGCACAGGGCAGCAAGGAGACCTGAGAAGGAGGAGAGGAGAAACGACCAACTCAGAAGTTGCCAGGGGAGATGCCCCGGCGTCCTGCCTGAGGCCCGGGGCCAGACGAAGACAGGAAACCAGTGAAAGCAAAGGGGAGACCGAGAAGGAGATCGGGTCTCTAGGGACCAGCAGAGAGTAGGAGAAAGGAGGGAGAAGGCAAGGGGGTGGGCAAAGATAAAGGGAGCTCCCGCAGCGCGGCCGGGAGCGCAGCGACAGGCGAGAGGGAGGGAAGCGGAAATTTAAAAGTGAAGATGCAGATAACGCAGCCTGGAGACGGGGACCCGGGTAGGGGGAGGAAAGGGGCGGAGAGTAAGCAGGGAGAGAAGGGAGGGAGAGGGTTGGAAAAAAAAAGGCTCTGGGGAGGGGGCCTGAGGCTGTGGCCTCGGAGGTCCGAAGTGGGGCTAGCGTTCCCGCCCGGTCGATGTTTTCAGAGAGTCGGGGAGGCAGAAAAGGAACCGCGCTCCTGGCACCCCCGTCTGAGCGCGGAACCGGGGCCCATCCCCCGCGTGTCTCCCGGGCTGCGGGGCGCAGGGGGCTGCCGGGTGCGCTTGGCTGAGGCGCTGCGGCGTTGGAGACTTTATTGCGATGGGAAGATAAGAGGGGCGGGGGCGGGGTCTGGGGGGCCGAGGCGGCTGCACTTTAATTAAAACGGAAATTGCGGCCCCTGCCCGCGCGGGGCCGGAGGGCTGCAAGCGGCCCTGTAGCTAGGAGCATCGCTCCAGGACCCCCTCCCTCCTCGCCACACCCTGGCTGCCCGCTCCCGCCAGGCCTTGCCGGACCCGGTGGCGTCTACTCTTCCCCGTCACCCACGGTCGCCTCGGGCGGGGATCGGCACCCTAAGCGCAAAGCTGACGTGCCCCCCCGTACCGCCCCCCCCATCTCCCACCGCCCAGTCCCCCGGCAGCGATGAGACAGAGCGGCGCCTCCCAGCCCCTGCTGATCAACATGTACCTGCCAGGTACCAGGGACCAGCCGTGGGCTGGAGGCACCAAGACCCTGGGCGGGAAGTCTAGGCAAGGGGCAAGTTCGGTGGACCAAAGGAAGGGAATGCTTCCAGAGGGTAGCTTTGTGGGTGTGTGAAAAGGACTGATGGTTGCAATCTGGGGCGTTCAGGGAACCTGCAAGGTAGGCAGAGAGCTCTGAGGTTTCAGTGTGGGTCTAGATAGGACTTGCAGATTCGGGATCCTAAGAGGCTGAAAGAAGGGGTCTTTGGCGTGATGGTCTCCGGGCTCCCGCTTTGCCTGAAAGCTGTGATCCGCTGGGCGTCGCCCCTGCGCCCTCAAGGGTCCTCACCTTCGTCCTCCGAGTGTTCACACCGGTCGAGCCCTCCAAGCGCCCCCTTCCTCTTTACGAGGGGCTCCGCTAGCTCAGACTCGGCTGGCGCAATCCCCTCTGGGTTTTATAAGGCTCCAGCCGGCCCCTTTGGAAAACGGATTTCCTTTTTCCTGGACGCGTTTCCTGACTTGGGCGCTACGGAGGGGCTCTGCGCCGCACGCGTCGCAGCCTAGCTTGGGGAGGAGGAGCTGGGTGGCCCGGACCCCTAGAACACTGCAACCCGGGGCCCTTTCGGTCAAACCCGCAACTTCCGCCTAGGTCTGCTTGACTGTTTTCTTCTGCGCCGCAGATCCCGTCGGAGATGGTCTTTTTAAGGAAGGGAAGAGCCCGAGCTGGGGGCCGCTGAGCCCCGCGGTACAGAAAGGTGAGCCGAATGGTACACTGGGCTGATGGAGAGGATGATAGTAGATGGGCGCAGGGGTGCGAACCCAATGAGAAGGATACCCCTGCCACTAGACAGAGGGGCAGAGAGGTGTGCACCCCACGTTATGGAAAATTATAAGGCCGTGGGCAGGTTGAGCAGAGAGAGGCCTTGGGAAGACATTGATTTGTCCTTCCGTGCATTTTCTGAGTCCTCTCGCTAGGTTTTCGGGACAGGTCAGACGAAGGGGACCTTGGCTTCCAGACCTTTTTCTGTCAAAGATGGGTTTTCCAAGCTTTTAAGAGGCTGCTGTGGTGATAAGCATCCTTTTTGTGTCGGTTGTCTGTGGACCAAAGTCGTAGCACTTCCTGGGGGGGGGGGTGGGGAGGCCTCTCCAGCCACCTTAGGCTACTAGATGCCTAAACCCCTGGCAGGCACTTCCCGCTACCCCTGCCAAACTTTCTGACTCTGCGGGCCACGCCGGCCTTGGCGTGGCGTTTGATACCTAGGTTTACTGCAGGCAACTGACCTGTGAGTCAATCACCCTGTTGATGGCTGGCATTTCAACTCTTTTTCATATAGTTCCTGTCCCAGCCAGTGCCTTAATCTCACAAGAAGACACAGAAGATGAGACTGGCAACTGCTTTTCTTCTCTGAAGGAAAGGGATGTAGCACCCAGCAGGGATGGGGGCCCAATCTCTGTTGTTCGTTCTTGGTGCTGTGTGTACCCTTTAGAACAAAGCTTCCCATACTTCTGCTCTAAAACTAAGCCCTGACTTCAGGGAAGCAACCAGGTCTTCACTGATCTGGGTTAGAGGAACTGGGGTTGAAACTGTGGAAGAAAAGAAGCTTTTGGGTTCTGAGTGAGCCGCACTGGAAAGGGAAGTGGGACTCACCAGGCTCCACCTGAGGCAAACCCGTTTTCATTCTAAAAAGGAATGGGGGCAGTTTGCCGAGATTTTTGTCGCTTAAGGCTTCAAAGCTGGAGAGTGTGGGTTCTGGGTCACTCATCACCTCATCACCAGCATATCCAGGGAGAACCTCCTTGTCACTACCAGCAACCCCGAGATCTGTAGGAAGACCATCCAGGATTCTCGCACAATCCTTTTTAACCCTACCTCTTTCCTCGGAGTTGCCCACCAGCCCCATCAGCACACACACACACACACACACACACACACACACACACACACACACACACACACACACATCTTCCCCAGCATCACAGAGGTCAGTGACCCGAAGGTGGTGAGCATGGGAAGCCTCCGAGAATCGGTCTCTCTTCTCAGTACACAGGGCCTCTGTTCTTGGCTGTCATGGTGCTTCTTCAAGCCAGGCCTGTTTTACTGTATGCCTTTGGGTGGTAGGGACTGTCTGGTGCTTGTGCGGATGGGGGCAGGAATCACCATCTATCTACATGCATGCCCTTTCGGCCTGGATCTCAGGACAGGCCCTCACCTGGTTCAACATGCTGCTCCGGGCTGTCTTGCACCGCTGTGCAGACTGTCTTAAATAAGGGAGGCTGGTCCAGGAGGATGAGAGTTTGATGTCTGACCCTTACCCAGGACAAGCCTAGAGCTTTGATTCACCATTGCTTCTCCACGAGGGAGACAATGCTTCTCCACACCCAACCAAGCCCAAAACAATGTGCCCTAGCTCCTCCGAAATGAAGGACGTTTCCATTGTGCTCTGCTGCTCTACAGTGGTTGACCACCAGCCTCCTGCTGCTCACCAGGGTGCAGTCGGGAGTGCCCTTGTCCGCTCCGATGGGGATTGCCAGTGGTTTGGGTTGTTTGCTTGCATCGCTTCCATCCCCCTAGCTCCAACCTGCCCTGTCCGTGGCTGACCGCTCCCCTTCCCCCCTACAGGCAGCGGGCAGATCCAGCTGTGGCAATTTCTACTGGAGCTGCTGGCAGACCGCGCAAACGCCGGCTGCATCGCGTGGGAGGGCGGCCATGGCGAGTTCAAGCTCACCGACCCCGACGAGGTGGCGCGGCGCTGGGGCGAGCGCAAGAGCAAGCCCAACATGAACTACGACAAGCTCAGCCGCGCGCTGCGCTACTACTACGACAAAAACATCATGAGCAAGGTGCACGGCAAGCGCTACGCCTACCGCTTTGACTTCCAGGGCCTGGCGCAGGCTTGCCAGCCGCCGCCCGCGCACGCCCACGCCGCGGCCGCCGCCGCTGCAGCCGCCGCCGCCGCCCAGGACGGAGCACTCTACAAGCTCCCGGCCGGCCTGGCCCCGCTGCCCTTCCCCGGCCTCTCCAAACTCAACCTTATGGCAGCCTCGGCCGGCGTCGCGCCCGCTGGCTTCTCCTACTGGCCCGGCCCCAACGCCACCGCCGCCGCAGCCACCGCAGCGCTCTACCCCACCCCGGGCTTGCAGCCCCCGCCCGGGCCCTTCGGCGCGGTGGCCGCCGCCTCGCACTTGGGGGGTCATTATCACTAGACGGGGCGGCCCGGGGGCGGCGGGGCCTCTCCCAGACGTCCAGTGGCCAATCCCACCCTCATCCTGGGACGACGTCCCTTTATCACAGATTTCATTGCAGCGGTCGCGCCCATCCCAGGGAAGAAAAGATTGGAAGCTTCGGAGGTCTTCTTAGAACACTAGGCTTCCAGCCCCACATTAATTCCACCCCAAGAGAGGCGAATGTGCCCCCACTTTAATTTTTCTCTTTCAAGTCTCCAGATTCTGGAACTCTCATGGTGTCTTTTTCAATTCTCACCTGCATCCCTGGCTCCTTCTTTATGAACCCTGTTTTTCTAGTTTCTTTCCTCGTTTTTTTTTTTTCTCTCTCTCCCACGACCTGCTCCAAACCCTAGTACCTCGAGGCTTCTCACACTCCTCCTTCCCGGGACCCGAGAAGGCTTGATAAACATCTCTGTCGTCCCCCACCCCCCACCCCAACACTCTGACTTCCCTCTCTCCCATCCCTACACTCTGGCTCAAGGACCCAGCGTGTACCTAACCCTTTCAGCCCCATTAAAGCTCCCAAGCTCCCTACTGCCTCCTCTCTGTTCCTTGCTGCACCAGGGCCCTTTTCGGGGAGGCCAAGGAGGTAAGGGCTCAGCGTAGGCAGAGCAAAAGGCCTCTGGAGAGTGAGAGCAAGCAGGCCTGGGTGTCGGTGGCCGGAAGTGAGGAGGGGCCGGTGGGTGGGATTCTGCGAGGGTGCGTCTCTCACCCTCACCCCATCCTATCCCAACTTCCAACCCAATGGCCACCTTTCTCCAGCCCACCTATCTTTCTGCCATCCCCTCCCCTCATCTCAACTAGCAACCCGCGTCCTTTCCTTCATTCTATCCCAACCTCCCATCAGCCACTCCATTTTACCCTAATTTGATACCTTTCCCCGCCTGCTTCATCCAGTTCTCTTAATACCTTCTCTCACTTTCCTTCACCACCCCCCTGCTGCTGCTCCCAGCAGCTCTGGCTCCCACCCCGCCCTTTAGATGCGTCTGCTCTTTGAAAGGATTTCTCAGTGTCTGGGCGACTAGTCGACTCTATTCCCGCAAGTGGTGCGCGCCCTCTGCTGGTCAGAGAGGGTAGGCCGGGCTACAGCTAAGTCTAGGGACTATTTGGTGGACAGACCATCAGGTGTTTCACCTACCAGTGACAAGAGCACCAGGTTGCCTCCACATTCCCTTTAGCCTTCAGAGTGAGGGGCAAAAGGAGGAACTCGGACTTTTCACCCCGGATCCCGCCTTGGGAAGTCTGAGAAGCGGGTAGGGTGAATCTTTCTGACGTTGCCTTGCTCACCATCCAGAGGCACCTGTAACCTTTATCTCTGTTCTTTCCTTTTCCAAACCTATTGTCTGGGAAGCGACCTTAGATGTGTTCCCTCAGAAGAAAACAGCCCTAATCAGGCTTCTAAGTTGAGAACCCTGTCCTCCCTTTCCCAGGGCCCAGGTATTACTTTGCACAAGGATAGCTGTATCTCTTTCCAGAACAAAGGGTTTTCTTCATTTGAGGGAGAACGTTTTGGGTGCCTTGGGCCTCTATTAGGCAGGCAGGCAGGAGATTTCTCCATGTCCTGTGTGCAGAAAAGGTAAAAGAAGGTGTAAGACTGAGTAGTTAGAGTTTGGGGTGTGTAGGAGTGAACATCCCCCTTCTCAGATGGACCATCCAGGCCCACTTCAGAAGGGAGTCATCATTCATTTACTTACTTCCCTTCTTTCTAAATAACACATACTTACTACAGGGAATCCAGTCAGACATGGAGGCACATGCCTGTAATCCCAGCACTGAGGACTAAGAAGCAGAAGGAACCAGAGTTTGAGGTCAGCCTGGGCTAAAAGCAAGACCTTGTCTTAAGAAACAAAACTAAGGCCGGGCGGTGGTGGCACACGCCTTTAATCCCAGCACTCGGGAGGCAGAGCCAGGTGGATCTCTGTGAGTTCGAGGCCAGCCTGGGCTACCAAGTGAGTTCCAGGAAAAGGCACAAAGCTACACAGAGAAACCCTGTCTCGAAAAACCAAAAAAAAAAAAAAAAAAAGAAAGAAACAAAACTAAGAAAAACCTTGGAAAAAAAGCACACCCAAAAGGCCCCCATTAAAAAATGGTTAGATAAAAAGTGTAATGAGGCACAGGTCTGGGAAAGAAATCACCTGTATCCTCACTCAGAGGCCACTCAATCCCTCGGTCTAAGGGCCTTCCTCTCCTCTATGCCTTTTATTTGTATTTTGTCATTGTGTTTGTTTGTTTTGTTTAACAGAGTTTCTCTGTTTAGCCTGGGCTGTCCTAGAACTAGCTCTGTAGACCAGGCTGGATCACAGAGATCAACCTGTCTCTGCCTTCTGAGTTCTGGGATTAAGGATGTGTGCCACCACTGCCTGGTTCTCTTAGCCATTTTTAAAAAGATTTTTTTCATTTTAGTTTGTGTGTATAAGTGCTTTGCCTTCATGTGTGCATGTCCACCACACTAGCGCCTGGTGCCTGCCAAGGTCAGAAGAGGGTGCTGGATTCCCCTGGAGCTAGAGCTCCAGATGATTATAAATTCCTATGTGGATGCTAGGAACTGAACGCTGGTCCTCTTCAAGCAACAAATGCTCTTAACTGCTGAGCCATCTCTCCAACTCCTATCTATGACATTTAAAATCTCAGGATACTCTGCTTTTGCAGCCTCATTCCAGCATAGGCACACTCCATGTCATGTCCTATAGAGCTCCTGAGATAGAATGGACTCAGATAGTCCAGAGAGTACCTGAGCCAGGTAAAGTCTGGCCTGCTAGGGGCTCAAGACTTACAGGGGGCATTGAGGGATGCCAGCATGCTTACAGCCCTGTTTGCAGGGATGAAGCCCACCAGAAGAGACCAAGGCAGGGTGGAAATATCTGAGCTGCCTGTCCTTAGATCTTTATCTGAAACAACAGGAGACAGAATACCAGCCATGGCAAAGTTGGGGCTAACAGGGGCTGTGTACAAAACAGTGTTGTCTTAGGAAACACAGCGAAAGGCAGAAAAACTGGGGTTTGGGGATGGATGGGGATATGGCATTTAAGGTGAAGATCTCATCTTCTGGAGCAGTGCCCCTGCCTCACCCCAGGAATGAAATCCTCAGTGTAAGCACTTTGGGGAGAAGGACAAAGGGAAGCTACACGGTATAGTAGACAAGTGAAAAGGAAAGCCCTGGAGAGACAGTAGCAACAGCACTATAGTCTGGGAAATCGCCTGGGGCAAAGGGTGTGAGAACCGTCCTCACTTATCCAGAGGACAGTCCTGAGGGAGTGGACCTGCACTCAGGATGGAGGGCGGTGCTGGGCATGTGCTTGGAAGCCGCAGTAAAACTGATGGTACTTTGAGCTAAGGAAGAACCCCAGGCATGGCATGTGCCAGATCCTTTTGGGAACAGTGGAGATGGATGGACTGGGTGAGTTCTCTAACCTTGAGTTCCTTGAGATCCTGTAGGCAGATCCTGTAGGCAGATGAACAAGGGATTTCAGTTAATGGGTCTCACGAAATTCCATTCTTTCTTTCTTTTTTTTTTTTTTTTTTTTTTGGTTAAGGCAGAGTTTCTCTGCATAGCCATGGCCATCCTGGAACTCACTCTGTAGACAAGGCTAGCCTTGAACTCACAAAGATCCTCCTGCCTCTGCCTCCTGAGTACTGGGATCAAAGGTGTGCACCACCACTGCCCAGCCTGAAATCCCATTCTTACGTCCACCCAACTCTGTTCTTTTCTGTTCCTGTAGCTAGTCTGGGAGGCTGACACAGGATTGGGATCAAAAAAACCCGTGTTCCAGTCATGGCTTGTCAATGAACCCGCTGTGTGAACGTCAGATAATCACATTTCTTTTCTGGATTTCCACTCTCACCTTATAAAAACTGTGAGACTAAACCACGGATTTGCAGACTGTTCTGTGGAACCTCGGGGATCACATGGATTCTTTCTAGAAAGCATTTGCTCAAGGTGATCATAAGGTCAAAGCCAGCCTCAGCATCCTACGGGTGTACATCACTTCCCCTGGAGCATCTCAGTCCCAGTAGCTTCCTTGCTGCCATGACGTGTATGAGTCTCGAGGCCACTATTCTACTCAAGCCCCTAGGAAGACCCGATGCTGGAAGTGGAACCCAGGGCTCCCGGAATGCTAGGCAAGTCCTCTACCACATTCTCAGTCCCAAGAAGACATACCCTAACCACACCCAGCTTCCTGATAGTCCAGGAGAACAATAATAAACAAAGCCCCACCTTGTTAAGCGACCTGGCCAAAGCCCAGGAGCTTGTCTGGGACCTGTGATATCTGGTTCCCTTGCCAGACCATTTCTCATTCCTCTTCCTTAATCCTGGACACCCTCGATGGCCTCGCTTTAGATTCATGCCCCTTCAGTGACTCACGTCTTCTCTGATGCCCTGTGTGCTTTTGAAGATGGGGTTGGAAGCCCTGATAACACGCTGCATGAAGATCTGTGTCCTTGCTGTTTGAGACTTGAGTGACTGTAGAGAACCTGTGCCACCAGAGCGCTGAGGCTGACACAGCACTTTCCAGTGAGATGTCTCATGTGACATAAATATTTCCATACTGGGATGCACTTTCTCAGAGCCTTCTGCTCTTCTGGTTTCATTTTTTTTTCCCTCTCCAATATGTCTTTAAGATTCATCAGACCCTCTTTCGCTTGTCTGTTTGAGCTGTTTAGAATTCCATCAGTTGGGTCTGCTGATAATAAAATTATGCCTTGTTTTTCATTTAACCTGGCTTGGCACCAGGTTCTGCTTTGTGCTAAAGTTTTGGGGTTTTTGTTGTTTGTTTGTTTTTGTTGTTTTGTTTTTTCAAGACAGGGTTTCTCTGTGTAGTTTTGGTGCCTGTGCTGGATCTCCCTCTGTAGACCAGGCTGGCCTCGAACTCACAGAGATCCGCCTGGCTCTGCCTCCCGAGTGCTGGGATTAAAGGGCGTGTGCCACCGCTGCCTGGCGTGCTAAGGTTTTACAAGCAGTCTGCTCTCTGATCTGATCACACCATGCCAAGTTACCTCAAGTTTTCAGGTGAGGGAACTGAGGCTTGGAGGGGTAAGATGTACGGCCCAGCCTGTGGCCCCGGAGTCGAACTCCTCACTGCTCTCCAGGTTCCTCTCATGCTGGTCCTGTCTGGATTATTTCTGCAAGTGAGTATGACTTGCATTTGCCCATTGCAGTCCAATAGTGCCCACTGGACACTAATCGTCCCATCACAGCGTGAGGTACTTGGGTAGAAAGGATACACCAACAGCTTGTCTCCTCAGCACCCTACTTAGGCTCCTGACTGACAGGGAAGAGTCACTAGCTGTTCGGTGGCTCATTGCCGCCTGCTAGCCTTCACTTTGCACCCCCAGTCCTACAAGCTTGGAGCAGATCACCATGCTCTGGGAGGAGGTGACTCTGATTCTGATGGCGTGTTTTATCAGGGTCAACATGATTTCTCCATGACTCTCCTCCATCCCAGGGTGGTGCATCTCATATTTAGAAGAAAGCGGCTCAATGCCTTATCGGTTGTGATTTTTTTTTTTTTGATGAGCATCTCTCTGGCTG